ATCAATCCCTTCAAGATCATCCACGGCAGACTGAGTCTTTCTCAGAGTCAGGTCTGCAGTCAGCATACCTTCATTATTAGATGTGACAAAGTTGTATTTAAAATTGTCATTATGACATAATTTCTATAAAGGATTATCTAGCTAGCGACGAAAAACGATTCGTGAAACAGGATCCTTAGAATTGCTCAAATATGAACAGCAAAATCTAAAGATAAATTATAAATAGAACTACTCCTCAGACTTAAAAATAAACTTCAAAATCTTTATGAGCCTGTTGTCAGTGAAAGCAGTCTATTAAAATACAGATACTTGTTTAATCTGTAAGGATCGAATAAAATACAGCAACGGTTAATTCGACTGAAAAGCAGCATTCACATCCGCATCAAGTCCAGAAATCACAAGACCACAAATGTAACCAATTTATAAATAATAAATGTATAGAAGAGTATTTAAATTTGTGAATATAGCTCATCCATTAACTCTTATAGGTCTGACGTTAAAAGAAAAGAAAAAAACATGAACATAACAGTTTTGTTGAAAATGAAATGACTAGAGGGCATGGGACAACCAAACATTCTGTAAGGATATGTAAAGAGAAACACATTAATTATAACATTTACTCTTACTAGGTCTTCAGCAACACGTCAACAGCAACACACACGGCCTGTACAGCACCATGGACAACTAATAGAAATATTCCCTTTCTACTAAACTGCAGTGAACTGGGATTTAAAAGGAAATACGAATTTAAAGTACTTTATAAAAATGTTTCAGATAACAGACAACAAGATGGATCCAAGAAACTTAGCATTTCTAAAAACCATTAGAAAGCATGTTGTCAAAAAAAAGAAAAAAAGGAAAAAGAAATCTGTAAACCAAAAATAGTACAAACATTTCTGAATAAAGACTTCGTTTGTCCTACCTGAAAGGAATCGTTCACTTCCGCATCAAGCCCTTCAAGATCATCCACAGAGGATTCACCTGTGGTCACCAGAGAATAGTAATTTTTGATTGAAGGTACGAGTTTAAATGGGACGTTTAGCTGAATGGAGCAGCGCACCTGTCCGTTATTCTCAGAGTCTCTGTCCTGCACATTAATGATGCCAACCTCTGTACCGGGTAACGCATTCTCAGGAATGGAGATTTTAACAGATTTAGTCATTATGGTAGGGGTGTTATCATTGACATCAATTACATCTATTAACACAGCGCATCGACCTGCTAGACCTTGACTATCTTTAGCCTGAATCGGCAGTTCAATTGTACTCTCCTCCTCATAATCTATGATACCTGTTAGTTTAAGTTCACCAGACACTGCATCGAGATCAAATATTTCCAAAAGACTTTCTGATAAATGACTAAACTCATAAGTCACTTCTCCATTTTGTCCCTCGTCAGCATCAGTAGCGCTCACTGTCACCACTACAGTATCTAGAGGAGAATTTTCAGGCAGACTGACTTTATAGACGGTCTGACTAAAGACTGGAGCATTATCATTAGCATCCAGCACAGAGACGTGTATGGCTACAGTACCTGATCTCGGTGGAGTCCCGCCGTCTACCGCAGTGAGAATTAATGTTACTTCATTTTGCTTCTCACGATCCAACTCCTTATTAATAACAAGCTCTCCATATTTTACTCCATTTACCCCTGTAAGAACACTAAGAAGAAAATGTTCGTTGTTTTCTAATGTATATGACTGCACTGAATTCATACCAATATCCGCGTCGTGGGCCTCATCTAATAAATAGCGGGATCCTTTGTCTGCTGATTCACTTATTTCGAATTTGATTATATTTAGTTTGAACTGTGGTAAATTATCATTGATGTCCTGAATATTAAGAATAAATCTATGTAGCTCCAACGGATTTTCCAGCACTAGCTCCTGTTTCATAACACATGAAGCTTTCTTCCCACAAATTCCCTCTCTGTCGATTCTCTCCGCTACAATCAGTTCTCCGGTATTCGTATTAATGTCACAGTACCGTTTTCTGTTACCTTCATTATCAATTCGGGCATCACGACTTGACAGACTCTTTACATCTAGCCCGAGATCCTTTGCTATATTTCCAATCACAGATCCGCGTTTCATCTCCTCCGGGAAAGAATAGCTCACGTCTCCATAAGCAGTGTGCGCCATCAGCACGAAGAACAAAAACCCAAACATCTCAGCAGCAACGCGTAAGGTTTTGATCTATCTATATGAAAATCAACAAAAATGTATTGAAGTTATCAGCATGTAAAGCCAGATGAAATTACTGAATTTAGTTTATGGTCGATATATGAGGACAATAGAGGAATGCACCGCTCACCGTCGACGATTTACAGCGAGCTGAGAGGTCAGTTCTCAATATATGACATCATGAACAGGATGGAGAGAAACAATATGAACGTCAAAGATTGCACTGGTGAACAGCGACACTAAGAGTTCAATTATGAAACTGCAGAAACCCTCATGCCCCTTCTGACATGTACAACTTGGATATAACACTTACGATGCACATAAAATGGCATACTTGTAGTTTAAAACATACTTGTAGGATATGAAAAGAGAAGAAGTTAAAAAAATCACATTCACAAGATACTTCGTAGTTTGCCCATGGCACGAAAAAATGTATTCAACATCACAGACAATAAGTTAAACGCATCAAAGCCTACCTTTGAGTACAACCAACTGCAGTCTTGGTATGACATCTTAAAATCTAAAAATCACGAAATCCAGTTTGCAAGACATTATGCGATCCTGTGGCAGTTTTCAAAATTAAACAGAGAGCCTACATTATTTTTATTTTGAAGAATATATGAGTAAATGTGTGTTGTATGAGTACAATCCTTTCTCTTCCTTCAATCCCCGTTTAAAATCCGCTCCAGCCTCTGTAGCATGACATACTATAGTTAGCTATTGCACAGTGTTTAGACCTCTAATCAGACGCTCTAAAAATTAACCAAATATTTATTTTATGCTTAAGTAATTAGTAAGATCTCATTATCTGAGGGGGAAAAACTGAAATACACTAACTTAACACACCTGAAATGTTTCAAAGCAACTGTGCAACTGGAAATATCACACGACTTAAAAATTGACACAGGAGAAAATATGATACAATTTGCATGTTGATGCATGCCTTGCACCACGAAATGTCTACAGAAAAGTACTTAGTGCTAAACGTCAATCTTTAAGCGCGCCACGGAAGAGAAATGATTTCAAACATGAATAATTCACAAATTGTTTTCTTACTTAATTCAAAAGCAGAAACGTTTAATGAAAGGACAGGGGTTACACAGGACTAAACTGAGAAAAATACAATAAAACAAAACTATAAACGACAAATAGGTCCCAACTTAAATGTTCTTCTCACTATCGAGAATATCATGATTTAAAAAGGCGAATCACCCTATATGTAACTTTTCAGAGCATAAAATTACACTTATATCTCAGAGAAAGCGCAGCAATACGTCATGGTCTACTTCATTAACAAGAAAGGGACCATAAACACGTACTTTCCCATTCCATTCAAAATACATCGAATTCAAACTTAAATATGTAAAACCACAAAGCAATAAAACAATCACAAAAATAGGCCAATCATTAATCATCCTATAAATTTCGACTCGCCAATTTCCCAGCGGAGGCACATAAACATGATCTCAATATTCATAGCATTTCGAAAATAAGAAATAGGATATAGATTACTTTACTTATGTAGGAGCAACAATCCACAGTACACACCAGTGCAGCACCATGGACAGCAACAGGAGAAACATACGCTGCCATTTCCAATCTGACTGAAACGGAGTTTTCATAGATTTTGCTGGCCAAAATATTACTGGTATCTGAATTGAATTCACTTAGTTAACTTCACATAACTGAGGCGTCGATGAGAGAAACGCAAATCATCATTCAATTACAAACGACAGAAACTAGAGAGACACAAACATGGATGTAAGACAAAACGTTAAGATGACCCTAAGAACTATTAGTTAACAGAAGACAGACATGGATTACTATGCAAGCTCACCAAACAACAATTTGTGAAAGATAGCTTAACTAATAATTGCTCAAACATGACCATACACATCTAGAACTAAATGATAAAATACCAACGTACTTTCTGATTCCAAATTGCCCCTCACAATGTTTGTCTAAAACAAAGTTCTTAAATGTGTCACGAGACTTTTTACAAGAACAGCGTGTCTCGCCAATGAAAGTCGATTTAATACATAAACACATTTAATCTGTTAACACACACATTATTTAAAAAAAGCGATTTTATTAGTCCTACCTGAAACGAATCGTTCATTTCCGCATCGAGTCCTTCAAGATCATCCACAGAGGACTGAGTCTTTTTCAGAGTCAGGTCAGCAGTCAGTGTGCCCTCATTATAAGATCTGACGAACTTGAAGTCACTAGTGCGCGAGCCCGTGGTCAGGTATGCGTCATAATTGTAAGTGCTGCGGAGAGTTCCCGCGCCCTCCACCTCTGCGTAATTTGGAGGAAGATACGCGCTGGGAATGGCTACAGCTCCATCAAACAACAGTCTGGGCTTTCTCCTGCGACAAAACCTCATGGCCAGGATGATGATGATGAAGGTCAGGAAGAAAGTGGAAACGGACACCAGCGCGATGATCAAATAAAACGTCAGTTTGGAGTTGCTCTCGTCACGAGACATGTCTTTCAGTTCTGGAACTTCAGCCAAGTTATCTGATATTAGTAAATACAATGCGCACGTGGCTGAGAGAGGGGGCCGACCTCACGGCATGAATGACCCCGGTGTCTCCGTTAATGGATAGGAAGGAGGACACCGGTGCGCCATTGACATCAGAGGACAACAGAGAATAAACTACAGTGCCATTCTGTCTCCAGTCCGGGTCTGTAGCTGATACTGAACAAATAGAGGAGCCCGGTTTGTTATTTTCTTGCACATGAGCTCTGTAACTCTGCTCCTGAAATACAGGTGGATTATCATTCACGTCAGCTACAGTCAGGTGAATATTCTTAGTGGAAGATAAAGGCGGAGAGCCCTCATCAGTAGCAGTAATTGTAATATTATAATCAGAGAGCAGCTCGCGGTCTAATTCACCTGTGGTCACCAAGGAATAATATTTCTTGATTGAAGGCACGAGTTTAAATGGGACGTTTTGCTGAATGGAGCAGCGCACCTGTCCGTTATTATCAGAGTCTCTGTCCTGCACATTAATGACGCCAATCTCTGTACCGGGTAACGCATTCTCGGGAATAGGACTGTTAAGAGATTTAATTATAAGAATTGGAGCATTGTCATTTATGTCAGTAATTTCTATTACGATTTTTGAGTCCGAGGAAAGACCATATCCGTCCTTAGCCTCAACAATAATTTCATACCTTGATTCATCTTCAAAATCTATTCGCCCCTTCACGGCAATTTGTCCAGTTTGATGATCCAATGAAAATGTTTCTTTAGCAGATTCAGATAAATGCCCAAATTCATAAGTCACTTCTCCATTTTGTCCCTCGTCAGCATCAGTAGCGCTCACTGTCACCACTACAGTATCTAGAGGAGAATTTTCAGGCAGACTGACTTTATAGACGGTCTGACTAAAGACTGGAGCATTATCATTAGCATCCAGCACAGTGACGTGTATGGCTACAGTACCTGATCTCGGTGGAGTCCCGCCGTCTACCGCAGTGAGAATTAATGCTACCTCTTTCTGCTGCTCACGATCTAACTCTTTATCAAGCACTAACTCGACATAGTTGCTTCCATCTGTTTTTGAATTCACCGCTAAAACAAAATTTACTTTTTTTTCTAATATATATTTTTGTACTGAATTGTGGCCGACATCAGCATCTCGAGCCTCAATGATACGAAAACGAGCACCTTTATCGGCATTTTCACTTATTTCGAGCTTGATTACATCTTTGGGAAATACTGGCGTATTGTCATTAATATCTTGGATTTGTAAAACAACACGATGCAATTCCAAAGGGTTTTCTAACACAAATTCGAAATTAAGCGTACAGGAAAGCCTCTCCTTACAAAGCACCTCTCTGTCTATCCGATCGGCCACTATAATTTCTCCCGTTCTCAAATTAATGTCGCAGAATCGGTGTTTGTTACCTTCAGCATCAATGCGAGCTTTACGTGATGTAAGTCTGTTCACATCGAGCCCGAGGTCCTTTGCTATATTTCCAATCACAGATCCGCGATTCATCTCCTCCGGAAAAGAATAGCTCACATCTCCATAAGCGGCGTGCGTTATGACTATAATCAGATAAATGCCCACACTCAGACAATGCGTCGGAAAGAATCTGCGATCCATATTTCCCATGCAGGCTAATACTAAACAAAACCAGAATATTTCCGAGCATTAAACGAAAGCAAAATGAGATAATCTAGAAACCTCGCTGAAGCGGATACAATAGGCCCGTCCAGCAGCCAGAATCGAATAATATTTCACTAGAGCTGATGCGTCTTTACAAGGAATGACATCATAAACAGGGTGGAGATAAAATAACATTATGTCTCAAAACCTCTGCAGGTAAACAGCGACACTAGGCGTTAAAATGTGAAAACTGCAATTTATGATCTCAACATAAGTGCACAGGAAATCAGTAAAGTGTAATCAGATTTAAGGCTCAAGAAAAAGAGTCCAATAAACGTGACAAACAAATAATAAATAAATAAACATTGAAACCGTAGTTGTCGAAGTGTAAATGTATACAATGCTCAACAGAAACAGCAGAAAAATATCAATTTCACAAAAAAAACCCCGTCAAATTCAAAGCCACGAACAGAAAAAAAGATGCTACTATTAGATTCTAATCAGACAAAATGTTAAATGCCAGCCACCTAAAAAGCTGAATACATTAATGATTTGCAAAAAATAAAGACATTTGAAAGAATGGGTGACAATAAGATATGCAAGCTTACATATCACTGAACAAATAAAAGTCTGGTCATATTTCAACTGAAAAGGAAACTTCACTTTATTGATGAAAAAAAACATTCTGCTCTCAGAGAGTTAATATATAAGTCCTGTCATTTTTAACAAAATATGCAAACATAAAAACAATACTCAAAAATCCTGAAAATTGAAAAACACAAGATTCAGTGAATGCCAGAACCTAATGAAAAAAAATATCTGAATTTACAGGGGTGGCCAAAATTATTAGAACACTACTAGTATTAAAAATGGTTTGAAGTCAGTTATTTCTATCTTTTGCTGTAGTGTGTCAGTAGGAAATATCCGTTTACATTTCCAAGCATTCATTTTGCCATTAATTGTAATAATCCAGTGAGATTTTTGTTTGCACAAGGAGTCTGACAACAGCCAGTGCTCCATACAGAGATCTGATCTCATCCTTATCCAGCCTGTCTGAAATGACATGAAGAAACAGAATAAACTGAAACAGACTAAATCCAGAAGAACTGTGGCAAGATCTCCAAGATGCTTAAAGACATTTGAAAGAATGGGTGACAATAAGATATGCAAGCTTACATATCACTGAACAAATAAAAGTCTGGTCATATTTCAACTGAAAAGGAAACTTCACTTTATTGATGAAAAAAATATTCTGCTCTCAGAGAGTTAATATATAAGTCCTGTCATTTTTAACAAAATATGCAAACATAAAAACAATACTCAAAAATCCTGAAAATTGAAAAACACAAGATTCAGTGAATGCCAGAACCTAATGAAAAAAAATATCTGAATTTACAGGGGTGGCCAAAATTATTAGAACACTACTAGTATTAAAAATGGTTTGAAGTCAGTTATTTCTATCTTTTGCTGTAGTGTGTCAGTAGGAAATATCCGTTTACATTTCCAAGCATTCATTTTGCCATTAATTGTAATAATCCAGTGAGATTTTTGTTTGCACAAGGAGTCTGACAACAGCCAGTGCTCCATACAGAGATCTGATCTCATCCTTATCCAGCCTGTCTGAAATGACATGAAGAAACAGAATAAACTGAAACAGACTAAATCCAGAAGAACTGTGGCAAGATCTCCAAGATGCTTCAAGAAATCTACCTGCAAAGCTACCTGAAACACTACGCACAAGTGCACCAAGGGCAAAAGCTGCTTTAAACACAAAATATGCTCACACCAAATGTTGATTTAATTTAGTTAATAGAAGCTAATTGATAAAGAAAATCTATTTATGGCATTATTTTTGACAGCATCCTCATTTTACAGAATTTTTACACAAGTGCCTACATTTTTAACAGTAATGTAGCTTTGCAGGTAGGTCTCTTTAAGCATCTTGGAGATGTTGCCACAGTTCTTCTGGATTTAGTCTGCCTCAGTTTATTCTGTTTCTTCGTGTCATTCCAGACAGACTGATGATGATGAGATCAGATCTCTGTGTGGAGCACTGGCTGTTGTCAGACAAAAATCTCACTGGATTATTACAATTAATGGCTAAATGAAAGTTTGGAAATGTAAACTGATATTTCCTACTGACACACTACAGCAAAAGATGCATAGAAATAACTGATTCAATAATTTTTTTTTAGCTGGTGAAAATAGTGTTCTAAAAATTTTGGCCACCACTGTAAATCCATGCCTAATAAAAAGGAATAAATTCAAAATAAATGAATATGAAACTTACCTCATTTGATTGTGCATCAAGCCCTTCAAGATCATCTAAAGCTGACTTTTTCAGAGTCAGGTCAGCAGTCAGTGTGCCCTCATTATAAGATCTGACGAACTTGAAGTCACTAGTGCGCGAGCCCGTGGTCAGGTATGCGTCATAATTGTAAGTGCTGCGGAGAGTTCCCGCGCCCTCCACCTCTGCGTAATTTGGAGGAAGATACGCGCTGGGAATGGCTCCTCACGGCATGAATGACCCCGGTGTCTCCGTTAATGGATAGGAAGGAGGACATCGGTGCACCACTGAGATCAGAGGACAACAGAGAATAAACTACAGTGCCATTCTGTCTCCAGTCCTGGTCTGTAGCTGATACTGAACAGATAGAGGAGCCCGGTTTGTTATTTTCTTGCACATGAGCTCTGTAACTCTGCTCCTGAAATACAGGTGGATTATCATTCACGTCAGCTACAGTCAGGTGAATATTCTTAGTGGAAGATAAAGGCGGAGAGCCCTCATCAGTAGCAGTAATTGTAATATTATAATCAGAGAGCAGCTCGCGGTCTAATTCGCCTGTGGTCACCAGAGAATAATATTTCTTGACTGAAGGTACGAGTTTAAATGGGACGTTTTGCTGAATGGAGCAGCGCACCTGTCCGTTATTATCAGAGTCTCTGTCCTGGACATTAATGATGCCAACCTCTGTACCGGGTAACGCATTCTCGGGAATAGGACTGTTAAGGGAATGAATCACTATTATAGGAGGGTTATCATTGATATCAATAACATATAATATTACTGTACAATGACTAGCTAGCCCTTGACCATCTTTAGCTTGAATCGGCAGTTCGACTGAACTCTCCTCCTCAAAATCCACTAGTCCCTTTAGTTTAATCTCTCCTGACACTGTATCAAGGAAAAACAATTGCCGGACAATTTCGGATAAATGACTAAATGCATAAGTCACTTCTCCATTTTGTCCCTCGTCAGCATCAGTAGCGCTCACTGTCACCACTACAGTATCTAGAGGAGAATTTTCAGGCAGACTGACTTTATAGACGGCCTGACTAAAGACTGGAGCATTATCATTAGCATCCAGCACAGAGACGTGTATGGCTACAGTACCTGATCTCGGTGGAGTCCCGCCGTCTACCGCAGTGAGAATTAATGTTACCTCTTTCTGCTGCTCACGATCTAACTCTTTATTCAGCACGAGCTCGCCATATTTTCTTCCATTTTCCCTGGTTAGTACATTAAGAATAAAGTGTTCATTATCTTGAAGTGTATATGATTGCACAGAATTCCGAGCAATATCGGCATCATGGGCCTCATCTAATAAGTAGCGAGATCCTTTGACTGCTGATTCTCGTATTTCGAATTTAACGACACTCTCTGTGAACTGTGGTGAATTATCATTTATGTCTTCAATATTTAGAATGAAGCGATGCAGTTCTAGAGGGCTTTCAAGGACAAGCTCATGGTTTACGACACATGAAGCTTTCTTTCCACAAAGCCCCTCTCTATCGATTCTCTCCGCTACGATCAGTTCTCCAGTATTCAAATTAATGTCACAGTATTGTTTTCTGTTACCTTCAGTATCAATTCGAGCTTTTCGAGATGACAGTCTGTTCACATCGAGTCCGAGATCCTTTGCTATATTTCCAATCACAAATCCGCGTTTCATCTCCTCCGGGAAAGAATAGCTCACGTCTCCATAAGCGGTGTGCGCCACCAGCACGAAGAACAAAAGATCAAACATCTCGCAAGCAACGCGGAACCTTTGGAATTCTTCAGATATTAAGCAGAAGTTACATCCAACAACAAAACGACAAATGTAAAATTAAATTGAGAAAAATCGAAAGGAGTACACTATTAGACGATCAGTCACTGTAGACGATTTTCTACAACGAGAGGAGCTTGAAGCCCTGTGTATGACATAATAAACGGGGCGGAGAAACGTGTATTGAAGACACATTGTTTTGCAGGTGAACAGCGACACTATGAGTTAAAATAAGAAACTGCATGACATTCTTATCAGACAGAATTGAATGTTATTACACACAAAGAACGCGTGTTGTATGCTTAGCAAATCATTTTATTGTTATGCAACTGTGTAAGCCAGCAGCAACATCCTCTTCAATGATTAATTCCCCCAATAATGAAAATAATGGCATTTACTCACCCTCATGTCGTTCCAAACCTGTATAAGTTTCTTTCTTATGTTGAACACAAGTGAAGATATTTTAAAGAATTTTGAAGAGCCAAACAGTTGTTGATCCTCATTGACTTGCATAGTAGGGAAATAAATATTACGTTAGTCAATGGGGTCCATCAACTGTTTGATTACCAGCATTCTTAAAAATATCTTCTATCATGTTCTATATAAGAAATAAAATCATATAGGTTTGGAACGACATGAGGGTGAGTAAATGATGACAACATTTTTTGGGGGGGGTTAACTATTCATTTAAGTGCGAGATATAAAGAAGGCCACACTATGCATGTTATTAAAAATCAAATAAACAAACAAATACAGAGGGATAGAGAGCTATACACACAAAATACCGAAAACCAGTAGTAAACAGCAGTGCAGCACCATGTACAGCAACACGGGAAACCTGTCCTACGCCATTTCCAATCAGATTAAAAGTACGTTTAAAAGATTTCTCTCAAGGGAACGTTAATAACATATGAACTTAATTCTCATTCTAAACTAACTGCATAGAAAAATGACAAAGACAAAAATAAAACTATTTAAATAGCAATATTTTATCGCAGACAATTACAAATGTCAGACTAGAAGGACACATATACTGATGACAAGTTTTAACGAAAGCATTCGTCAACAGAATGAGACGGATGTCCTTGAAACCTTTAAAAGATCACTAACAAACTACTTGTACAGCTCGACTTCAAAATAAGTCCAAAAGAGTGAAAAAAAGAACTACCGCATACATGACCAGATAATGTCAAAAAAGTCGCTTATACCATCAATATGTTCTAACTCCAAACTGGAGTTGATGTTAGAAATATGTTCTAACTCCAAATCAAGCATTTGAAAGAGCCACGTGAACCGCTAAGAAAAAAGGATAAAAACCTTTGCTAAAGAAAGCAGTCAGTTGAAACCGCAAATATTAAATTTAAACAAATTAAATCCACCCAATTATTTTTAAAGAAATTATCAAAGGCTTACCTGAAAGGAATCGCTCATTTCCGCATCGAGTCTTTCAAGATCATCCACAGAGGACTGAGTCTTTTTCAGAGTCAGGTCAGCAGTCAGTGTGCCCTCATTATAAGATCTGACGAACTTGAAGTCACTAGTGCGCGAGCCCGTGGTCAGGTATGCGTCATAATTGTAAGTGCTGCGGAGAGTTCCCGCGCCCTCCACCTCTGCGTAATTTGGAGGAAGATACGCGCTGGGAATGGCTACAGCTCCATCAAACAACAGTCTGGGCTTTCTCCTGCGACAAAACCTCACGGCCAGGATGATGATGATGAAGGTCAGGAAGAAAGTGGAAACGGACACCAGCGCGATGATCAAATAAAACGT